AAAAAAAAAAAGGTTACACACTCGAGAAAAAGCCCATTTGAGCCAATACCCTTTTTTCTTCCTCCTTGAAAATCAAATCAAATTAGCTCGTAAAATCAAAACAAAAAAAATTGCAAGAGTACAACTACTACTGCAGCAAGTACACAAAAATTCCTAAGCATAAACTGATCCACAAGACAAAGCCATCAAGAGGAACGCTGCTTGTTCTTCCTCTCCCAGTTTTCGTCGCCGATTAGTGTTGGATCTCGGCCTCTGCATCGCCACGTCCGACCCGAAAGCCCACAATTTCCTGTTAAACGAATCCCTGATATTGAAGGTACTATCCCCGTTGCTGCTGGTACAACTGCTGCTGCCGCTGTTGGTCTTGGGCGATGATTTCTTGATTTTCTTGTCGTCTTTATTAGTGACGCCCATTAGGGCCCTTCTCTTTTTCCGGCTTCTGATCCCACATGCGTTGCACAGTGACTGTAGCAGAGACAGCAACAGATAAAAATAATTCATTAAATCAGATCTCACCAAATCAAACACAAGTGCATCACGTGAGGGAGGGACCAAGTTATGCCATTAATCTACACCTACCATTAAAAGACGCAACTTTTACAGAGTAAAAATAACAGAGCTAACAACACAGAGCATTATCAAAAATAAAATAAATAATAAATTGAAATGAAGTGAATTAAAGTAATGTATATAATATGTACCTTGGGACCAGCTGGGCCACCTCTCCAGAGGGGGGTTTTGGAGGTGCCACAGTCGACACAAGTCTTCACATTTGAGCCGTCGGATGAAACCCTATCTGGGGTGGGTGTTTGGCTACTCATTTCTTCACACTCCGATCCCTGAAAAATACAGTAAAATCAAGAACTCTACTTTAACTAAGAATGAAAATGGGAAGAACAAGCCGTGATCACTTACTTTATCACTCAGATCCATCATCCAAAACCCGTTTTCGAAGATCCGAAGCAAACCAAGTAGTGAATTCAGGGTAAACGAACTGAAAATCGAGAGCCTTGCTCAGTAGACACGTGATCGCACCCCCAAAACTGAAGATGATTCAGGAAAATCGAAGCAAAACAAACTAAGCACAAGCTAAACCACGGATCAAGGAGCCCTAATCAACAGCTGAAGATCAACTAAAAACCCTAGAACTCGATCAAGTTGAAAATGCACTCAGCCAGAGCAAAACAAAAGCCCCAAATCACCGAATTATCTCTCTCTTGCGCAGGCGACCGTAGATGGAGAGTGATAAAGGGGGTGGAGTGTAAGGGTTTTAGTGAGCGGCTGGGAGTGATTTAGAGAGAGAAACGACCGGCCGAAAATCTAGAGAGAGAAAGTTGAACCGGGGCGTGGGCGATTTTGAGGGAAATAAAAATTTATTGAAGGGTTTTATATATAAATTTACGAAAACCCTAATAAGGCGCGCGGGAGTGTGAAAGGACGAAAAGGGGCTTCGAAGGCGAAGGGATTTTTTTGGGCACCCGCCAAATTGTTGGCGCGATGGGGGGAAAATTTTATTTCTAGTTTTCGGGGGGAAGGGCCTTTTCGGGAATTTTCGGAGTGCGATTTTGATGTTTGCCGCCATTCGAAATGAAAGGATTCACACACGGGCGCAACTTTTCATTTGTGACAAGATTTTCAAATGGAATGTAGTTTAATATTGTTGTGCTTTTATTGTTAAGTCAAAAGTTGAAGGTTGATTTAGTTGGTTTTCTCTTTCAAGAAACAAAAAATTGTGTGGGAAACAAGTTGGGGGAAATTATTCACAAATTAGTATTTTGTATATCTTCCACTCTTCCCATGTCAATTTTTATATCTTTGTTGGTAAGTGATTAGTCTATTATGAGTGATTTTTAAAAGGTTTTGTGGTATTTTTACTTTCTTCACTCACAATCTATCAACATGTCTATTATTTTGTTTATGTTAGATTTACATGTTTATATATTTTAGAAATGGGGTGCAATGGGTATGCGACTAAAATATATTGACCGAAACGGATCGATATACGAAAAAAAAAAAAGTTAAAATACAATGACGGCAACATGCCATCTTTGGGGCTAGGTGATTGACAACGTGTTGCCATATAAAAATTCGACTTTTGAGGATGGAACGTGTATTTCGACTTTTCAAAACGAGACCAATTGGGTGATGGTTTTACTGCTTCGATTGTCGGAGGGCGTTCAGACTCTGCAGATAGATCGACAGTGGTCTTCTAAGAGATCGGGTCACGGTCGAGCGGATACTGCAATGTACACTGTCGTCGGGAAAACATGAGAACTTCGCGGCCTGCAGGCGAACGGGACGGGTCACTGGCTGCGATTGGGTCATGCTCGATCGGTGATCGTCGGGAACGCATGTTGCGTGCGACTGCTGCTTCTGATCTCCGTGGGTCTCGCGTATCTCAGGGACTTTTGATATATTCCCCGACACCTCTCTGGTTGTCAGTGGAGCAACAAAACTCCGAGATAAAGCTTGGGGGAGCCAGGGCCAGTCGAATCGCGTGAGGACGTTATGTGTCTCCCAGTCCTAAAAGCTTAATGGTGTATTTATAGGGCTATCGCAGGGACCTTAAGAAGGTGATGATGTGAGCTTCTTAAGTTATTGGGCCTAATTGTGGGCCAAACCAACTCTGCTCAATAACTTAAATAATGTTTCGGTCCACTAACAAAACATTATTGCACTACTTTTATTATCCCCGAATTATATTCGAGACTCCTATACGCTTAAGATGTAATGTCCATCAATTAATTCGATTACTGACAATCAAGAATTAGTTGACATATTGAACCGAATCTTTTTTATTATGTCGAAACTTAATCCACATGCAGGTTTTAACATAATAATATTTCATGATATCACTTCGAGGACAATATCAAACTAACCCACATTGTGACCGCAAATGTTCTAACAACGGATCATACAGGCAACACGATTACCCAAAACACGAGGACTATTGACCCAGCATAATGAATCTCGCTTTTGGTGAATCAAATTAATAGCTACTGCGTGCACATGCCTATTTATATATTAAGGGTTAAGAGAACGCAATAATTAACCAAGAGATCTTATATCAATACAGGATAAACGAACTGCTCATCATTGGGATCATGTTCAATTCATAAAATGTGGTAGTGCAACAGTCAATATCAACTATACGGTTGACACTATAACAGTTCTGATGGTTCATTTTCCATCTAAGTTGTGAACTAATCATTCTTATTTCACAAGTGATTGATAAAATGATATTCGGTTCATCCTTAATGAACCATTTTATCTAAGTGCAAAACAACAGTACATAGAGCATGTTTAATCAAACATGACTCTCATTCAATATAAATAGTGTAAATAATATCCAAAACCAAGTTTTCAGTATATACACCAATAATGAGAAGGAATTCCCAACCTTGGCAAGCCGAAGCTCCTGGGATCGAGAAAGCTCACACGCGTGTTTGAAAACTTCTAGATCAGTACCTCACCAGACGGATAAAGGGATATGTCTTGCGACCTGAATTAAATTAGGGGAAAGGACAGCCTGAGCACCTTCGGCGACGGTCACCTCGACAAACCGTTATGAAGATAATGGAATAGCGGCCAGAGGAGTGGCTTGGAGAATCAAAAAGTGTTCAATCATAGTGTTAAGCCGATTTTGAGAATAGAAAGTCAAAGAGATCGATGACATTGTGGAATAAGGAGAAGATAACAAGAGATGACCTAA